ACTGCACTGAAGAGTTCAGACTCTCCTCTCTGTGCCTATGTGCCAAAGCTCTTTCGATTCAATATATTTGCACATGTCATGCTATAACTGGAATATCTCTTCCTTTGCCAAGCAAATTCATTTCAACTCTCATGTCTTAGGTTTGATGAAGCATTCTCAGATTTCATGCTACTATTAAGCACTTCTCTGTGGACTTGAAAGTGGACAGGGCTTGGAACAGAGCAAAGAACTACCTGAACCCTGCTCTGGAAGGCTTGGACTAACCACACAATGATGCCAAGATGGGAAAGCTGGAAGAGCTAGGCTAGCACAGGAGAGTGTCTGTCCTACCAACTAGGAGCACAGCACCTTCCTAATGCTGTGACCCTTTATTATGGTTGTGATCTCCAACCATAAAGTTATTTTCATTGCTACTTTATAATTTTGCTATTGTTATGAGTTGTAATGTAAGTATTTTTGGAGACAGAGGTCTGTTGAAGAAGTTGTGACCCCACAGGTTGTGAACCACTGGCTTAGGCAGTGGGGAAAGACGGATGAGTCAGGAAGGCAGACAGGCTGGCCTGTGGGCTCCCACCCACTCAGAAGAAGCTCCTGGGCAGTGGGGAGCTGAGGCGCTGAACAGGGGGTTACAATGTTGGTAGTTGGCTACAACTTTACGCTGCATATACACATCTGGTGGGGGAGGGGATAATTACATGTGCATGATTCTAAGCACATGATTCTTAGGCTCAGAGCCATTGCAAGCCAGGCAACTATTGCTTTGGCATGATAATACCAAAGTGGGCATTAGAACTTTTTCTCCAGATTTCTCCTAAACCCAACATTGGCTGTTTTCAGTTTTCACTAAAACTATATTTAACTGTTCCCTCCAATGCCAAGAAAGAGCTAGTTAAGAAAAGGCCACAAGCCAAGCATGAAACACAAAGTTGCCATGTGAAGATTGTGTCTTAGCTTGCTCATGCACACTGGGGCCACAGGTGGAACAGTTACCAGGCACTACCACAACCACAGAGGTGAATCAAACCCTTCCACAGCCAGGCATGGTAGCCAGTATAAGAGACTGAGGCAGCAGGATTTTCTGAGTTTGACCTGGGCTTCAGACTCTGTCTCAAAAACAAAAACCACAACCAAAAGGGCCCTTCAGAGTTTCACAACACAGTAAATTAATAAAAATGAGAACCAGTCATCTTAAACTCTCACCTCAAAGTTATCTGCTACATGTGGTGGCACAAGTCTTTAATCCTAGCACTTGGGGGAGCAGACGGAAGTAAATATCTCTATGAATTTAAGGCCAGCTTGGTCTATATATCAAGTTCTAGACCAGCCAGACTACAAAGTGAGATCCTGTTTTAAAACCAAACAAAAAGTCATCTGCATCACCTTCCTGTACTGAGCACTTTGTCCTGCCCTAAAGCCTACGTGACTTTCTAGAAGTGTCCTTATGTTAAGAGCAGAAATAGCTAACCTCTGACGTCAAATAAGAATTTCATCCTCCTCCCCCTTCTCTCTTCCTTCTATAACTACTGTTTCTTTCAAACAAATCTAAGAGTCCTTTGCCTGAACCACACCCAGTAAGAGAAAAGGTGTGCTATATAATAAAATGATAATCTCAAAGACTTTGGCCCATGGTCCAACTCTAAGGCCATCTTAAATGATACACCCTCGAAGCACTAAGGTCACTGCAATGAAGTAAAACAGATGGTGGGCATGGACAGAAACACAAGTTTCTGTTAAAGGCCAAGAAACAAATGAGCTGCATTGAGAGATCCCTACATTGTAAGGATGAACCATGCACAACCATGGTAACCTGTGCTGGTAAAAAGAAATGAAGGGAAATAACTTGTCATCTTAATTGCTACTACAAAGATATTTTATTATTATGATCTCATAAAACTTTTAAACATATTAATCATCACAATGCATTTTCAAAACTTTGGTGCAAAATACAGAATTAGTAGTGGTGGCTTAATCCCAGCACTAGGGAGGCAGAGACAGGCAGATCACAGACCAGCCTGGTCTACAAACCATTCCAGGACAGGCTCCAAAGCTACAGAGAAACCCTGTCTCAAAAAAAAACAAAAAACAAAAAACAGAAACAAAAAACAAAATTAAATGCCTAAGTATACACACACAAGTATATACTTCCTTGGGGCTAAAGTCAGGATTGTTTTGAAAGCACAGAACCAACCACATGGCTAATATTATGCCTTAGACAGGGTGAAAAGATACCCACCATGTGATTGTCACCATCCTGCTCTCTTTAATTAACCAGTGTGGGGGGGTGAGGCATGAGATTTTGGTTATCAACCCAAATCACAAATCCTCCCTCTCCAATCTGAAAATGGTATATAGGTTTCAAGAAAAATACATCTATCTTCCTAGGATTACAACAGACTGGCTTTCTATATAATGAAGGAAAACTTAAAAGACTTTATTACTTATCCTTGAGGTTAAAAGATTAATCATGGACAACCAGATACTTATGGGGAAAAGGGCAATAGATCTGGGGTGAGAAGATCTACACTGAAACTGAATTTTAACACCCCCTTTTTTGAGATAGGCTCTTGGAGAGTGACTTGGCTATGACATCTATCACTCCATTGATAGCTAGGGTTGACTCTGACTGGGCCCGTGTGTCCCTCTTAAAGTTGTACACTCAGTCAACGGAGGACTGGTCTTCAGTTAAGGGTTTAGGGGTGACTGAAGACTCCTGCTAGCATGTCCAAATGAGCTCTCAAGGTGGGGTTTCACTCAGTAAGCCAGGCTGGCCTTGAACTTGCAGTACTCTTGGCTGTTTGATTCCCAAATGCTGGAATTACAGGTGTAAACCACCCTGCCAGCTCCAAAATAAATCTATCTTATGTGAATTACTGAACCTTGCTGAGTTCTCAGTTTGGTCCTCACTTTCCTACTCAGTTTTGTGGCTGCTGTCATCCATCTACCTCACAGAGTTGACTGGTGTCAATCATCAGATACCATGTATTTGAACATGTTATGAAGAAGGAAGTGAGATAATGGTAGGATTGTAAACCCTTTGAGAACTTGGTGCACACAGCTCTAGATTATCACAGGATTTTTACACACATAAAATAGCAATGTCCAATATTAACAAAAACAAACCAAACAAAAAATTATAAACTACCAATACAGAGAGTTGGACAGATGGCTCAATTGTTCAGAGCCCTAACTATTCTTCCAGAGTAACCACATTCCAGTATGGCCTCGAACTCAGAGATCCATCTGCCTCTGCCTCCTGAATGCTGGGATTAAGGTCATGAACTACCAATGCCAGCAACCCAAGGATGGCCCTGAATTGATCCTCCTGCCATTACTTTTCAAACTCTGGTATTGCAGTTTGTATCACCATATTTTGAGAGTTATAACACATTAAATGGAGTTTTATGTGTAGACAACTTCATCATTTGCAGGCAATATCCTTGAAATATTTCAAAAGCCTGTTTTAGGGCAAACAAAACTTTATAATAATTCTACAAGGGATTGTTGGTTTCTTGCTTTACAAACTAACCATTTGATAACTGGAAATCTTACATGGCTTACTCATTAAACACCTTTTTGTCCTAACATTGCAGAATTAATAAGGCTTCAGGAAGTATGCTAATAGGAGCATAAGAAAGAAAACAAACCAAGAGGTTTGTATTATGCACTCAGTTTTGCCAATGAAATGATTTACAGGGTAATTCTGGGTTAGTTTTTTTTTCCAAACCCTAAACCGAAAGAGTTCACTACAGATGTGGGGAGAAATTGCGTAAGTACAAGAAATCTAATGCTTCTCTATCAATTTTAGGTCTTATAAAGGTTTAAATGAGTCTGGAACAATTTCTTCAATGATCTAAAATCAAGTGTGTACTTTGGAAAAACTAGTATTTTATAGATGAAGATGGCTTGTAGAGTATTCCGTGCAATATTACCCTCCTGCTACATTGGACTCAGATGGTTCTGTGCAAGATCTGTACAGGCCAGTAAAACAGAATGGGTTTTAAGGCCACTCCCTTGATCTTTGCACATCCTTTCTCGTAATTTGTCTTATACCATGATAAGCTTCAGCAAGCAACCAAGGCTGCCTGTCAACTGCACAAATGTCTGCCTACTACATGCAGAGACATTTAGGCTTGTTCCCCTTTTTGGAGCAAAGCCAACGTAGCCTGGACTTTCCACACCTCTAGTAAAGGTGAGAGACGTAGCAAAAGTCCGGAGTGATGCACTCCGAATGGGTTCGTGTAACCCATGCTTCCATTCTAAGAACCCGAACACCCTATGTCTTCCTGGCTGGCATCCGCAGAGCAACCGCTCACCTCTTCACCACCCTACCGACCATCACCCTGTCCCCGGTCCGCAGTCGTCAGCCCACCCTGACCTCCTCGAACTGCTCGCCCGAACAGCCGGCGCCACGAGCCTCCAGCAACTCCCGGAACTGCTCCAGAGTGACGGACTCTTCACCGCGGCCCAGCCGCTCTTCCAGCCAGCGCAAAAGCGCGCCGTGGTGCCTCGACACCAGGGATTCGCAGGGGGGTGTGGGCCGCAACGCAGCCGCAGCCTCTCGCAGCCGGGCCGGTTCCAGCAGTGCAGCGGCGGACGGCAGTGCCGCGGCCGCAGGGCCGGGGCCGGGGGTCGTGCCAGAGTCGGCAGCCCAGTCCTGATGCGGGCTCCAGCTCTCGCCCCCGGCGGCCGCCGCTTCGTCTTCGCTGCTGTTACTCGGAGCGTTCCCCATGGGGCCTCCGTCTTGGGTGCTCGGAGGTGTTGTGGCCGCCGCCGCCTCCCAGCCACGACCTGTCAACCTCCGACAGCTCCAGGCGGGCGGGGACGGGGTGGGGACGAAGGCGGCGGCAGCGACTTCCGGCTTCCTGGCCGTCGAGCGAAGCCTGATGTCGCAACGGGGCCGTCAAGCGGATTGTACCGGCTCACGACAGCTGGGTGAGGCCTAAGAGCACGCCTGTGATGTGTAAGTCAACGTCCAGCCTCCTTTGCCGCCATCTTTGTTGAGGGCGGATAACTTGTAAGCCAGGGTGGTCTTTCGGCGCAGTTCCACTTTCTCCTCCACGCTTCACGTTCTCAAGTTATACCGGAATAGTGTGAGAAAGAGTCGGAGCCCAAGAGTGAACTTTATCGGAAGCTTGTCGAGCGTCGCGCCGCTGACGTCACGATCGGCGTCTCCGCCATCTTCGTTGTGGCTGGAGAGCTGGCGATTTAGGAAGTGCGGCTTGTGTGCTGCCGCGTAGATAGATGCTGAGGCTATGCGGTCTTGGCGTGGTGCTGAGCCTGGTCGCGGCGGCGGCGGCCGTCTTGGGCGTGTGGTTGATGGACTGGTGGGGTCCCCGCTCTGGCCTTCGCCTCTTCGTACCCGAGGAGCTAGCCCGCTATCGCGGCGGCCCAGGGGACCCGGGTCTGTACTTGGCGTTGCTCGGCCGCGTCTACGACGTGTCCTCTGGCCGGAAGCATTACGAGCCTGGGGCGCACTATAGCGGCTTCGCAGGTATCAGCGAGGCTCTCCCACCCCTTCCTCCTGCGCGGGGCCGTAGCCTTCCGAGCGGCAGGTGTCCATTCATGAGTTTGTTCATCCGCGCCCGGCCACCGCCCTCGATAGAACCTACATCAAATTAACTTTATTCTGCTGCACTCCCTCCCTCCCTCTTTTAACAAAGGAGGAGAACTAAAGAAATATAAACTTCCAGCCTAATAATTTTTAAGTTTGTCTTTAAATTTTATTTTATGTGTGTTTTACCTGTTTGTACGTCTCTGAACCACCTGTGTGCCTGGGGCCCGGGGAGACTAGAGGCTTTCAAATCCCCTGGAACTGGAAGTGTGAATGGTTGTGATGTGCATTAAGGGTGCTGAGAACCTGGGTCCCCTGGGGGAGCTGCTGCTGCTCTTAACCACTGAGCCAGCTCTCCAGCTCCTAGACTACTAATTATAAAGATGTTGCTTTTCTAGCCTCTCACTTTTGGGAAGAAAAATGCAGGGCAAGCCTAAGACTGGTTACTAGGTTGACAAAAATTTCAAGCTGTCCACTGGTCATTTAGGAGAATTAGGAAGCTGCATTTAAATACAAATCATTCACTTCTTTCTCTCCAAACTTCAGACAGTCCAGAAGAGGAAGGAACCTACCCAGGGACATAGAGAGTTATAAGCAAAGCTTATGTGGGGGAGTGGGGGGTCTTCAGCATAGGATTTTTCTGTGTAATCCTGACTCCTGGAACTTGCTTTATAGACCAGGGTAGCCTCGAACTCACAGAGATCCTCCTGCCTTCCAAGTGCTGGTATTAAAGGGGTGTGGCACCACTGCACAGCTTATTTTGTTTTCCAATGTTAGGGATTGGATACAGGATGTCATGCATGCTAGGCAAGTATTTTATTGCTAAAACAATCTCTGATTTCTCCTCCTACACCATTTGAAAGATGATGTCTCATTATTGTAGCTCAGGCTGTCCTTGAATATACAGCATTCCTGGCTCTTAATGTCTTTTCATTGTAGCCATCCTAGTGGGTTTAAAGTGCTGTTTCCTCTACTGCATCTCTAATGAGTAGATGACAAGCATATTCTGCTGTGTCTGGATTTCTGCCTAGGTACCAGGAATTCAAACTCAGGTCCTCAAATTTGCAGAGCTGAGTGTTTTATTGACTTAGCCATCTCTTCCTAAAGCCCTGTTTTGTGTTATGTTTAAGAGGAAATAATAAGGTTAACCAGAACCTCTAACCTAGTCAGGGAGGAGGAAAGAGGGGAAGTCAGCACAATGAGTGATGGAGAAAGTGACTAGATGGGGGTTGGTGGCAAATGCTATTGAGTTAGGGATTTTGGATATTCTCATAAGGCAAAGGGAAGTACTGAGGATTTTGGCAGAAAATGACATTGTGATTTTTTTTCTTTTAGTTTGGTTTTTCCAGACAGGGTCTCTGTGTAGCCTTGACTCTCCTGGAACTTGCTATGTAGACCAGGCTGGCCTCAAACTCACAGAGATCCTCCTGACTCCCGAGTTTTGGGATTAAAAATGTGTGCCACCACTGCCCATCAACATGATGATTTTTTTGTTTGTTTACAGTAAGGCAAGTTGGTGCATGCCTTTAATACTAACACTAGGTGGCAGAGACAGGCAGATCTCTAAGTTCAAGGCCACACTGGTCTATAGAGCAAATTCCAGGACGGCCAGGATTATACAGAGAAACCCTGTCCTGAAGAAACAAAAAATAAAATACCAGTCTAGGGAGCTGGGCATGATGGCACACACCTATAATCCCAGTACTCAGAGACAGGTAGGCCAGTGTCTGGGTTCTAGGCCATCCTGGTCTATGTAGCAAGTTATAGGTCAGCCAAAGTTACATAGTAAGACCCTGACTCAAAAAACCAAAACCAATAAAAAAAATAGTCTCGTGCTGGAGACTGACTCATTGGTTAAGAGTGCTTGCTGCTCTTCCAGAGCACCTGAATTCAGATCTTAGTACCAATGTTGGATGGGTCAAGCTGCCTGCAAATTCAACTTCAGGGAACCAATGCCCTCTTCTGACCCACTCATGTGTTTATGCCCATATACACAGAGACTCACAAAATAAAGTTTTATAATAAGAAAATTAAGTACTAGTCTGAGTGTTACCTGGAGAATAGTTTGGGTCCTCTGTGGTAGTTCACCTGAGAGATGGGATCGTTTGGTAGCAGGTAGAGATAGGTGGATGAATACAGTAACTATTTAGGAAGAAAATAAAGACTGGCACTAATTTAGGGGAGGGTTAAAAGAGGTATTAACTCTGTATAGACTGGACCATTTCCTGAGGCTGATGACCAGTAACCCAAGATAGGTTTGTTGAACTTGTGATGGCTGTGAAACAGCTAAGTGACATTGGTCAAGTGAGAAGGTGCAGATAATAATTAGTCTCTAGGGCTAAGGAGACCGTGAGATGCTGAGAAGACCAGGAGTGGAGTGTCATGGAAGCCAGACGTTATCATTTTGCATTTTATCAATTGAATATTGTTGAAATTAAATAAAAGCTGATGGGCCAGGTGTGGTGGTGCATCCCTTTATTCCCAGAATTTGGAAGGTGGGCTGATCTCTGTGAGATGAGGCCAGTCTGGTCTCCATGTCAAGCTCCATACCAAACCAAATCATAGTGAGACCCTGTCTCAAAAACAGACAAATAAAAAAGCAAGTGGATGACAATTACCAAAAATTCATGTCCCTGATTCAGGAGGTCCCTGGGAGTGAGGACTAGGGGCTATCAGGACATGTTTTTTTCATAAAGCAAAAGATGGTAGCACATCTTCCCAGCACTCAGGAAGCAGAGGCAGGATGGATCTCTGTGAGTTCGATGCCACCTTATCTACAGAGTGAGTTCCTGGACAGTTAGGGCTACACAGAGAAACCTCTTGAAGGAAAAAAAAAAAAAGAGCAGAAGTTTTAGTTGGTACAATATTGTGATTTATAACCGAATTTTTGGCAACTTCTTTCCTGAAGGCCGGGATGCATCCAGAGCATTTGTGACAGGAGACTATTCTGAAGCTGGCCTCGTGGATGATGTAACTGGCTTGTCCTCCTCTGAGATACTGATACTTCACAATTGGCTTTCATTCTACGAGAAAAACTATATATTTGTCGGTATGTAGTCCTTGACCATTGCTGAAGATTTCTTTCCTTCTTTCTTTCTTTTTTTTTTTTTTTGTGGTTTTTCAAGACAGGGTTTCTCTATATTGTTTTAGAGGCGGTCCTAGTACTCGCTCTGTAGACCAAGCTGGCCTCGAACTCATAGAGATGCATCTGCCTCTGCCTCCTGAGTGCTGGGATTAAAGGCATGTACCACAAACGCCTGGCTATTCCTGTAGATTTCAATCGGTTATCTTGCTGTGTTTTTCAGGTGTCCTGGATTCTTTATCAACTGGGCTCAAGTTCAAAATTTGAAACCAGCTCTGGGATTTTTATGTTAGGTTCTTGCTGTTAGTGCAGGAGTGATACGCAGAAGAAGATGAAGTTGTGGGTAATCTTGGGAGGGCATTCTCAGACCTGTACTTTGGTGTCAGTGGCCCCCAGTCAGTGTCATCTGTGTTGGACATGAACAGCCAGCTCCAGAGGCAGCCTCCCTGTGGCTCCAGTACAATTAGAAAGGCTTGAAGCCACTCATGTGTGTTTCTGATGCTTTGCTTCGCTTGCTCTCTGATGAAGCAGACATCCTGAGTGAACTGTTTCTGAGATGGAAGTTTTGCTAATCATGCATTCATTTATTATTTCATTCAGAGTTCCATGTAGCCTGGTTCAAACTCGCTATATCAGGTCAGCCTTGAATTCCTGGTCCTGCTGCCTCCATCTCATGTATTAATGCCAGTTGTGTTGCCCTGCATTTGTTGCTTACTGGGAGTCCATGAGGAACTCAACTCTTGAGTGAGCAGGCAACTGACAGACACTCATTGATACAGTCTTTCCTAAGCCTTGAGAGCTAGGATGGCTGAGGCCAGTCCTGTCATCCGTGTGCAGCCCCACTGCTCATGGAGCCCCACGTGTGCATGACTGACTTCTTGTTGATACTAGTGTCCCTTTACCATTGGAACAGGTCTAGGTTAGAATTTCCTGACCGTAATACCCCTAAAGGCTTGCGTTCATTACTTCTTGGCCTTCTTATTCTGAGAACCATGGGATTTTCCTTAACTCCTCTACTCAGCATCCAACTGTTGGAGCTCTGCTTTTATAAGATGTGACATGAGTTCCTTTCCATTCCACTCCCATTGCTCCTCATCTTCATCCAGTCCTCATCCCGCATTCGGCATACCCTTCCTTGTTTCCCTTAGTTGGCCCTACTGTGCTCAGTGCACTTGTTTCTTCCTGTTCTCCATGATGTTGCCAAGTGACAGTTGAAATGTTGCTGACCCAGTGAAGTCCTGCATACTAATAAGCAAGCAGCCCTGCAGACCAAGCTTCATCTCTGCCCCAGCTTTTTAAATTCTGTTAACTTGTTGGAAAGGCCCTGGTCACAAATTGGTTGGCTCCTTGTGACTGGCTGGGGTTAGGCTTTGTTTCTACTTATCAGAAGTGCTCATATTCAGCTTTATTTATGCTCAAATGGGTCATGGTTATTCTTGAGGTATTTTGTGGTGAGATTTGTTCTGTTTTGTTTTTGAGGTTTTGTTTTATGTTTTTGTTTTTCTTGGTTTCTTTGAAACAAGGTCTCATAGAATCCAGGCTGACCTCAAACTTGTTGCATAGTTGATCCTGGCATTGAAGTCTTAATCCTCCCGTTTCAATGCCTCAAGTGTAGTAAACTTTCTTGTTGGACCACCAGCCCACAAATAATGACCAGGAGACTTTATTAATTATGTAAGTTTAGCCTTAGCTTAGGCTTTTTCCTAACTAGCTCTTATAACTTAATTAACCCATATTTTTTAAATCTACATTCTGCCATGTGGTTTGGTTACCTCTTCTTGATATGGCACATCCATGTTGCTCTGAGTCTGCTGGCAAAATCACAGTTTCTTTGTCTCTGCCCAGAAGTCCCACCTATACCTCCTGCCTAGCTATTGGCTGTTCAGCTTCTTATTACATTAATCACAGCAATATATCTTCACATGATATACAAATATCCCACAACACCCAAGTATTGGGACTCCATTAACATATACCACCATGTCCAGTTTGTTCTTTGTTTGTTTGGGCTTTTTTATTTGTTTTGTTTTGTATTTGAAACAATGTCTGATTATGTTGCCCAGGCTGATATTGTACTCAGAGATCTGCCTGCCTCTGCTTCTTGAGAGCTGGGATTAAAGGTGTGAGCCACTAAGCCTGGGTGAATTTTTTGTTTTGTTTTTACTTTGAATGTTTAGTATCAATTTTATTATAGGATATTTCTGTTTTCAAGACTACTTCTTCTGAAATAAAATCATATATCCAGTGAAAGGAAAGAACGCAGTGAAGAAGAATGGAATCCCATGAGTGAACAAAGGATGCCATAGCAAACACCATGAAGTAATTTTGGGGTAGCAAACTAGAAGTACCCCCGATGTGCTTGGGAATGGTGGGGGCACGTGGTTAGAAAGCCTATGGGAGAATTTTGGTTAGTCAGGATGCATTTGAACAACTGTAACTAGTGTTATAACTGTGATCCTCACAGTGACCAGGAATGTAGTTAAACTTTCCTTTGGGTCACCAGCGCACAAATAATGACATGGAGACTTGTTATTAATTATGAAAACTCAGCTTATAGCTTAGACTTGTTCCTAACTAGCTCTTATAACTTTAATTAACCCATTTATATTAATCCACATTCTATCATGTGGCATTACCTCTCTTTCATCTTGCACCTCCTGTTTCTTCTCCGTGTCTCCTGGCATCTCTGCTCTCCTTCTTCCCAGAGGCTTCTCTGTTCCCGGAAGTCCTGCTTGACCTCTTCCTGCATTGCTATTGGCCATTCAACTCTTCGTTATATCAATAACAGCAATATATCTTCACACACTGTACAAATATCCCACAACACAGGAGTGTGTTCAGTGCAATTCCTGCCAAAGATTTGGCATGGGGACCATCTAAGACTTTCAGGGACATCAGCGGATAAAGGCAGATTTCCAAGGTGCATATTGACTTACGCATAGTTAAGTAGCTATTGTCACAGTTGCACAGCTGGATCTTAAGGGAAAATGAGGCAGATTTTGTTACGCTCTGGATACCCAGCTGGTAAACCTGTTCTCATAATACAGCATCTAAAATTCTGCCTCTGCTCGTGCTATCCTCTCTTTAGCTATTCTGTCTAAACCTCAACAAGACAGGCTCATCCTATGCCACACAAAGCCTTCTATCCAAAAGTTTGCCAGTAAGCCAACCTAAAGACTTCCAATCTGGCATTAAGGTCCTGATCCTTCATCTATTTGTGTGACAAACATTTAAAACAGATGCTCTGTATGAAGTTGTTTTGAGTACTGGGCCTCACAGGATACCTTCTAATTAAGCAGACATCTCTACACAGGGCTTCGAATATAACCTTAGGATGCATGATTAGGAGTATGAGTTACCTTTGCAGTTGGTGGCTTCTTGGAGTTGATGTCAGCAAATGGACCTAGCAGAAGGAAGGATAACCATAGTGAGATTTGGGAGAGTGTAGCAAACTGAGGAAGGAGCGGTGCCTGAGGTGGGTGTCAGCAAGACCTGGTCAGGTACTAGAGAAATCTGTGTGCTGCAGCCCACAGGAATGAGGGAGCAGATGACTTAAGAAGAGGCAAAGTGGATAGCCAAATGGCAGGTAGGACCTGGAGGCCTAGGTAAAAAGTTTGTATTTTATTCTGTGCTTTGAGTAGCTACTAGAGGGTTTTACTTAGGCATAGAAGTGATGTATGATTTGTGTTAAAAAAAAAAAAAGAGCCGGGTTTTAAAATACCCTGCTTATGTTACTGTTTCTTGATTTATCATCATTCACCATAATATGCTTATTTCTTAAAATAATAGGCCAGGGTTAAGACTCACTACTTTCAGCCAGGCGTTGGTGGCACACACCTTTAATCCCAGCACTCAGGAGGCAGAGGCAGGCGGATCTATGTTTCGAGGCCATTGTGGTCTACAGAGTGAGTACCAGGACAGCCTACAAAGCAATACAGAGAAACCCTGTCTTGAAAAACCAACAACAAAAAGAGAGTATTCACGGGTAGAGATAGATGTCTCAGTGATTAAAAGCACTGGCTGCTCTTTTAGAGGACCAGATTCAGTTCCCAGAACCACCTGGTAGTCCACAATCATCTGCAACTCTAGTTCCATGGGATCTGACACGCCATTCTGATCTCCATGGGCACTGAATACATGTGGTGTATAGACATAGTCAGTCAAAACATTCCACCATAAGATAAAAATAAAAAATGAAAAAGAACATCCAAATTAGGCCTATGATTCAAAAACTTGCAAAACTGAAGCAGGAGACTCAAAAGCCTCAGGCCAGCCTAGACCATGTCTCATGAAGGTTCCTAGGTATATACTTTAGTGGCAGACCACTCACTTACCATGTCTGGAGCCCCAGTTATGATCTGAGCGCTGGGGCAGAAATGCCCCACATGCTTTGTGGAGGAAGTACTATAGGAAAGCATGAGCTGCAGCAGAGACCAGTTGGAAGGCTGCTGTCTTAGTCTTTGTTTTAGAAAAGGTGGCAGCAGTGGAAATCAACTAGAACAAGAACTGACAAGATCTGCCCATTAGCCACAAATGAAGGGAAGTGCGTATCTGAATGTGAGGATCAGGAGAGAGCCACTGCTCTTGACGTAGATGTGCTAGTTTCTGTTACTGTGGTAAATTACCAAGACCAAGGCAACTTTATTTGAACTTAGTGCTTCCAGAAAGAAAGTCCATAATGTCAGGCCAAGTATGGCAGCAGGAAGCTGAGAGATCACTTTTTTAGAGAGAGAGAGAGAGAGACAGAGACAGACAGACAGACAGACAGACAGACAGAGAGATCACATCTTTAAGTATAATCACAAAGCAGAGAGAGGATGTGAACTGGAAGGACAGCCAGACTATAAATACTCAAATTTCTCTGCCCTCAGTGATGTACTTCCTTCAGCAAGTCTGCACCACCTCTCCAAATAACACCACCAACTAAGAACCAAGTGTTCAAATGCCTGAGCCTGTTGAGGACGTTTCTGATTTAAAACTACCACAGGAACGTTGGCAAGAGAGTGGGACTTGAGAGTATGAACGAAATCCAGGCCTTTCCATTGGAACCTGAGTCCAGCTCAGTTCTCAGGGACTGACTATAGAGGTTGGACCCACACAGCTGGGACAAGGAACCACACTACCTCCTACTTGCTCAAACCTCCCTGAGGTGTTTTCTGGGGCTTCCTCCATCCAATACGGTGGTGCCTTTTAAGACATTTTGCACCTTGGACACAGCAATCTGTGGCACTTAAGGAGAAGAGAACCTTTCTGCTGCCTGTAAACTGCAACCACTTGGTAATTGCTTTCATAGCTTAAATATTAAAAAATTTTGAAAGCCATTTTAAAAATTAATGTCCTCATACTTAGCTGGCAGAGGAAATACCATGATTATGAAGGTGGTTTTCCCAGGGCAAGGCTTATCCATTGCACTCTGGATGTGCTGACCCCTGCAGTTTCCCCAAATGCAGGAAACTCAGTCACATAATTTGTGGTAGTGGGAGACTGCATTCATGCTCTCCCCTAGGGGAAAAAAATTAATGTTCACTAAAGACTTAGTTAGAAGAAGGTAGTAGAGGAAAAAACATAGGCTGAGTTGGTCTCACTGAATAGTTATGTAAGACAAAGTAATTTGACATGGACCCAGAAAAATGCGGGTTAATAAATATATTCACCCAACAATTACTAAATGCTTAAGTGTCCCCCACGCACTACAGAGTATTGATAAATGTTACACACATGATTCTGTTTTCAGGGAGCAGGTGTTGTATGGAGGTGATAAAGATTTGACCATTTCCATATTGGCAGCTATCTGACTCTTCAGCCCCAGCTAACCAGAACCACAGATTCTAAATGCAAAGTAGCAAATGGCCCTGAGAGGGTCTTTACGTGACTTTCAAATATCTGTCTGGAACTTCACAAGCCAAGTCTCCATTATTTCTCTTAACACTCCTGTTTTCCAAGCTCCTACAGAACAGCTCACCAAGCTTTGAGCACTCAATAGCTTTTCTAGTGCAAAGTTCCAGAACCCTTTCTACAGTCCTCCCAGAAACTGTAACATGGTCATTTCTGTCACAGCAGTACCCTGTGATTTTGGTGACAGTTTCTGTTTTATGGTTTTTATTGATGTGAATTTAGAGAAAAAAATGATTTATTTTGCTTACCCTTGCTGCTACTCTGACTGATCTTTTTCCTTGTTATCTCAGGGAGATTGGTTGGAAGATTCTACGGAGAGGATGGGCTACCCACTTCAGAACTAATCCAGGTAGAGGCCATGGTGACTAAAGGCATGGAGGCAAATGAACAACAACAGAGAGACAAACAGAAGTTCCCTCCATGTAATGCTGAGTGGAGCTCTGCCAAAGGCAGCCGGCTCTGGTGCTCCCAAAAGAGGTAAGCAGGTTTCCCTTCTGTTCTGCCACCTCTCCTGAATCCATCTTCTAAGCCATCCTTTTATTATCTATTTATTTGATTGTTTATTATTTATTGTCTCCACAACTGACTGCTAAGCGAGGAGCTTATATATGTACTATGCATACTAGGTCTTCTGAATTATTTTCATTTACTTATTGTGATAAAACACCCGAAAGGGGGGAAAGATTGAACTAGTTGTACGGTTGTAGAGAGTATAGTCCACTGTGGCAGGGAAGCCATGGTAGAGCAGCTTGGTCTGTAATGTGTGGTCTTCCTGCCTGCCGCCTGGGCCCTGCTGAGCTGTCTGAGCCCCCAAATAACACACAGGACGCTATGTCAATTATAAGCTGTTGGTCGTTTGCTATGATTTCTTGTCCACTAGCTCTGACTTAATATTTAACCCATAATTGCTAATCTGGGTATTTCCATGTCTCTTACCAGAGAAAGATTCCGGACCTCTTATTTCTCTGGCATCCTACATTGAGTCTGCCTGTGCCTTTCTTTCCCAGAATTCTTTTCGACTCCTAGTCCCACCTGTCTTGCTTCACTATTGGCCAACAGTGCTTTATTCAGCAACCAATAAGAGAGACATATTTACAGAATGACATCTCCCATCATCTCCTCTTTTCTATCTAAATAAAAAGAAAGGTTTTAACTTTAACATAGTCAAATTACATACAACAGAACAGTTATCAAGTAAGAACTATAGTTACAATTAGTCCATTAACAATTAGTAAGATTTAAAGAAAGTATTTTCTATCCTATCTTTGTGAATCTAAAGTTTTATATGTAGCTTATCTTTTATCATAACTAAGGAAAACTGTAATTAAAACTATAGTCTTCAACTCCATCAAAGACCACAGAAGGATAATATATAAACTCTAGAATTGACAAAGACATCTTGCTACCTGGACAGTCACCCGAAGTTCCTCTTTAATGCTGGGGCATCTATCCTCAGTCCATAGGCCACAGTGTGTCTGGAAGACTTCTCAGCAAAGCAGGAAATTTCAAACTGTCCATCTGCATTGGCAGTTTGTCATTTTTCTGTGTCCTGCAGAATGTCTGGCAGACTCTTCCATAAAGCAGAAACCCTGTAGGACTGTCCAAGTTCAGCAGTCACTTTCCTGTGGGTCCTGCATGTCCAGTTTATACAGCAACAGTCAAGCAGTACAGGAAAGAGCAGTTTCTTGCCCAAATGGTTCATCTTGCCATGTTGAAAGCAAACTCCATAACAAGTTTCTTCGATGCCCATCTTCCTCTCAGATGTAATTGGTGCTGCCAGGAGCAGACATTTTTCATTGTCAAGAAAAATCCTAAACCATTTTTAAATGCCATTTTCTGAAGGTCTTTGAAAGATTTGAAGACTATCTATCTATCTATCTATCTATCTATCTATCTATCTATCTTAAATGCATCTGTGTATATCTAGAAAACCTAACTTACCTAACTATAAGTTTTGACTATTATAGGTATCTATAATTGTTACTTAATTATACATTATATTTTAAAAGATCAGTATAAATACAATACTTAATCAAGAGGAGAAATATACATATCACAAAATTGTCCTTAAATTTGTATCAGTAAATGAGCATCCATTCCAAGACAAAGTATTCATTTCTATATCATATTTTTTCTCTTTAGAAAGAGATTGACTGTGATCATTACCATTTATAAGCAACTCTGTATAAATGAAAACTAACAATAATTGGGAATTTGGGCGTTATTCATGCCAAACTGCTTCCTGCTGGGGGGGAGCGATGTCCATACCATGGGGATCATGACACAACACAGACACCTGGCCATGTCCTTGGTTTTTTGTTTGTTTGTTTGTTTGGTTGGTTTTTGTTTTTTCACAACAGGGTTTCTCTGTGTTGTTTTTGGAGGCTGTCCTGGAACTTGCTCTGTAGACCAGGCTCTGCCTCCCCAGTGCTGGGTTTAAAGGCGTGGGCCACCAACACCGGCTAAGTCCTTGTTTTTGTAGTCTGCAAGGCTGCATCATCTCAGCTGTTTCAAATGCTGGATCACCTGGGCCACTGCTTCCGGGGGTCATGGTTCATCAAACCACAGAAGCCTGGAAGGAATCCACAGCTTTCCATTTTCTGTGGAAACATAAACAAAAACTCTTCCCAAGTAACCTGTCCTTATATTTAAATTTAGAAGTCAAAGCATTTTCAAAAGATATAACTTGAATTAATTCAGCAGCATTTACAATCAAGTATATTCCAGCAGTTGTTTCTTTATTAGTAACTGAACAACTGAAAACCGTGATAGCATACAGTATCCAGACTTTGTGTGTTTTTCATCTTTACGTAGCTTTTTTATTACTCCATATCTTTTTATTTTACTTTTTACTTTTTTTGAGACAGGGTTTCTCTCTGTACTTTGGCTGCCCTTGAACTTCCTCTGTACACCAGGCTGGCCTTGAAATCACAGAGATCTGGCTTGCCTCTGTCTCATGAGTGCTGGGATTAAAGTTGTGTGCCACCACACCCAGCTACTCTCTTTGTTTATGTTTTTCTTCCAAGTGCTAGGATTAAAGGTTTGTTTTCAATATCTTGTTTCTCTCCCAAAGTACATATATTTTTAGACACAATATAAACCTTTTCAAGGTTTTACTTCATCTGAATCTGACTTTACTGTAAAACTTTTGTTTTTCTGGCCACATGTCTTATATAGGCTAAAGAACATTGCTAAAATTAAAGTGGAAACAGTCACTGGCTTTCCAACATGGCTGGCGTAAGTTTGACACCAGCTCACTGCTTCAGTCTAGGCCAGCATCCAGCAGCATGGTGCCGGCTTGGAAATGTGGTCACTGCTCCTGTCAGCTGCCCGCACACACCATTCAGTTGTTAGAAGAGCCTTGCAGTTTTGCCGCTTATACTGAGTCAGGAAGACTACCGTAAGCGAGCCACATTGAGTCTCTGCTTGTCTCTAGCAAAACAGAGCCCACCTGAGAAAAATGGTGCTACCAAGAAGCTGTGCTTCTCTCTGTTCTTTTGTTTCTAAAATCCCTTTTAAGCTTTTGTCTTTCTACATGGAAATTCATGCCCCAGGTTCTGACACCATATTTAACGTGTATCCTTCCTGCATGCCCCCTGGGCCCTGCCAAGCTGTTTGAGCCCCCAAATAACACACAGGACACTATATCAATATTATAAGCTGTTGGCTCTTTGAGATTATTTCTTATTGACTAGCTCAACTTAATACTTAACCCATAATTGCTAATCTAGGTCTTCTGAGTTATTTTCATTTACTTATTGTGATAAAGCACATGAAAGAAGCTATTTAAGGGGGGAAATATTGAACTAGTTGTATGGTTGTAGAGAGTACAGTCCACTGTAGCAGGGAGAGCATGGTAGAGCACCTTGGTCTATGGCTGTGGAGGTATGTAGCTCCAGTTCTCATATCATTACAGATGGGGAAGTGAGGCTGTTCTAGAACAAGAAACTGTAACGTTCAAGGCCTGCACGAGTGACTCACTCCCAACTAGGACTGCTTACTGGCTGGTTGGGAAGACCTCTTAGTCACTAGTACCAGCTCAGGGAAGTGACACTGCTGCAGATTGAGAAATAAAAGGGGTTGGATCAAGGGCACAGTGAAGGGACATGGACTCTTACTTCCTTCTAGAGACAGTAATATTAGCATTTTGTATGGAAAGCCAGAGAAATAGGAGAGCTTATGACCCAGGTTGGTTGTTTTGTTTTTGTTTTACGAGACAGGGTTTCTCTGTATTGTTTTGGAGGCTGTTGGTCCAACCTAGCCTCGAACTCATAGAGATCCGCCTGTCTCTGCCTCCTGAGTGCCCAGGTTGAGATAGGAAGTGAACCCTGCAAGTGTCTCTTCCTCTTGTCCCAGGGGCTTGTAAGTTGATGCTTTTAAGAAGTCCTCTTTCCCTTTTTCCTAGTGGAGGTGTGAACAGAGACTGGATTGGTGTCCCCAGGAAGCTGTATAAGCCAGGGGCCAAGGAGCCCCACTGTGTGTGTGTGAGAACAACTGGCCCCCCTAGTGACCAGCAAGACAACCCTAGACACTCAAATCGTGGGGACTTGGACAACCCCAACTTGGAAGAATACACAGGCTGCTCACCTCTGGCCATGGAGTGTTCCTTCCCAATCTAAGATGGTGTCCTATATGTGATGACACATGGAGAACCTTCCCTAGATCTTCAGAAAGCCCTTAATAATAGGAGGCTCCTGGCATGAAAGTAGGAGGGTCAAGGACTCCAGCCTCACTCTGCAAACGTGTGTCACAATTCTGTTGGCTGAGAGAAGAACCGGATAGCCTACCTGGTGTGGTCAGATTGTTTTGACACTATTCGGAAGCTTGGTCCCCTGTCATCTTCCTTCAGAGCCTGCAGACATTAATGAATATATCGTGATCGATGTAGATCTGCCTGGATACATGCTGCCCTAATCAGAGCTTGGACTCTGCCCGTCATGCCAGTCCTGCTGGTATATGGAGCAGTAGCAGAACAAAATTGTGGCTCTCAGCAGAGATGCAGGCATTTCCCAAGAAGCTATGCATCTTACAGTATCAAGGTAACTGTTCTACGCTCACAATCTCTGACTTTTGTGACATTTCTAAAACATCCAAGGCAAACTTGAATTACTGACTCCTTCAGAGCTGGGCTGTTACAATGAGACGTGATAATAAACTGGGATGGGTTGATTCTGGGATAGGGAAGCTTTTACATACACAGATGGAACACATCCAGATTCCCCCTGCCCAAATGTGTATTAAACTGCTTACTCCCCTCATATCATTAATGAAAAGATGTCCCTCCATTCCCTGAGTTTCTATAATTACCACATGTTTTGAAAGGGGCTTCTGCTCCAGGTTTCTCAACCCCATTCACTGCCAAATTCCCCTGCCTTCTCTACAGTGGTTAATTCTTACCTATCTTAGTTGTTTTGCTTTTGTTTTCATATTTGAGACAGGGTCTCCTGTAGCTCTGGCTGTCCTAAAAGTTACTAGGTAGACCCGGCTGACAGGGATCCATCTGCCTCTGCCTCCCAAGTGTTGGGATTAAAGCCTTGTCCCACTGTGCCTTGCTAATTCTTGATTTTTGGGGGGGAAGGGGAGGAAGTTCGAGATAGGGTTTCTCTGTGGCTTTGGAGGCTGTCCTGGAACTAGCTCGCGTAGACCAGGCTGGTCTTGAACTTTGTCTCCCGAGTGCTGGGATTAGAGGCGTGCGCCACCACCATCTGGCTGCCTTGCTAATTCTTACTTATTGTGATCTGTTACTTTTTAAAACATTACTTGACTTTTTGAGGTAGGATCTTATATATCCAGGCTGGCCTTGAACTCAGTATGTAGACATGTGCTACCGTGCCCAGTTTATGCAGTAGTAGGGATTGAGCCAGAGATGTATGCATGGTAAGCAAGCACTTTACCAACTGAGCTACGTCCCTAGGCCCTTGACCTTCATTTCTCTTGACTCTGTTGGCTACGATGTCCTGCAAGGTCCCCATAAAGCCCTCACTTGCTGTACTGATCCTACTGGCAGCTCTTCTCCTATCTCTGTGGTTCATCCCCAGGACCTTCTCCTTGGCTTTTCTTTCTCCTACTTCAGGCAATACACTGCTAGGTATTATTAAACCAAAGGGTTTAATAATGAAGTCTTTGAGCTCTTTCTGGAGGCTCTTTTGCATATATGATGTATGTGTGCATATATCAGTGAAATGTAATGTCGATGTCTTCCTGTATTTCTCTCCACCTTATGAGACAAGGTCTCTCTCTAACCTGTAACTCTTATTTGACAAGACTAGCTGGCCAGCAATCTCCAGGAATCCTCCTGTCTCTTCCTCCCCAGTGCTAGGCTACAGATGTGTTCCATTATACCTGAATTTTACAAGGATCCAAACTCCAGTCCTTATGCTTGTATGGTAGGTACTTTACCAAGTGAACCATCTCCCCAGCCCTACAAGCCCTACATTGCTAACACCTTCATTCTTCCTGTCACCAGATATCATAGTATCAGCTGTCAACTTGACACAAACTTAGTCACCTGGGAAGAGAATCACAACTGAAGAATTGCCCAGATCCTACTGCTGAAGTTAAGCACATGAAGGGAACTGTTACCTGGAAGTGTAAGATAAAATAAATCCTCCCCAAGTTGGTTTTAGTCAGGACACCATATGACCAATCCCACCATCGCTACACTGCTCTAGGGAAAAGCCTCCTGCCTCCTGGCCAGCCTGCACCTTGAGGCTCTACCTACTAGCTCTTCATCTTAACTTCTCCTTCTGGTCGCCTTCTCTGCTGTGGTAGGTCATCTTTCTCGTGATGATCAGGGTAGTCTCCACTTAAACCTCCCAGGGTGTCTTAGAGTTTCTGTTGCTGTAATCAAACACCATGACCAAAAGGCAAGTTGGGGAGGAAAGGGTTTATTGGGCTTACCCTTCAGGATTGCTGTTCATCACTGAAGGAAGTCAGGACAGGAACTCAAAAACAGGGCAGGATCCCAGAGGCAGGAGCTGATGCAGAGGCCATGGAAAGGAGCTGCTTATGGGCTTGCTTCTCCTGATTTGCTCAGACTACCTTCTTCTAGAACTCAGGACCAGTAAGTAGCCTGGCACTTACTGGTTCCACCATGGACTGGAACCTCTCCCATTGATCACTAAATGAGAAAATGCCTTATAGCTAGATTTCATCAAGGCATTTCCTCAACTAAGGCTCCTTCTTCTGATGACTCTAACTTGTGTCACCTTGGCACATTAAACCAGCTAGTACACAGGGGCTCCCCACTATCTTTGAGGATCACACACAGCACTGTGGCAGAGACCCCATGCATTGCCTGTCTGGCTTTACTCTTCCTTCCCTGTGTGCCCTGCTCTATATAATCCCTACACACAAACCCTTGCTTCTGGTGAATCTCTCTCCCTCACTCCATTAGTCTCCTGTTTATTTCTCAATAGTCCTGTCTACACAGACCCTGCCTGGGTACCTTCATTAGGCATAGGCCCACAGAGTAGATTTTAACTCTTAGCTCTCCACCAGCAGCATTTTGGTTGCTCACCTCTTGTGGGTATGGTGATACAACCCTTTAATCCTAGCACTTGGGAGGCAGAGACAGGTAGAACTTTGAGTTTGAGGCTAGCTGGGGTAACATAGCAAGTTCCAGGCCATCCAGAGCTATAGTGAGACCCTGCACCAAAAAAGAATCTACCCTTGTGGGCTTGAACCCAGAACCTGTCAGCCTCACACTAAACACACATGACTGATTCATACATTCATGGAACATGAACACTGTTTGCACTCCCAGGGCAGGAACTGACAGTGAACTGATCAAAGACCTTGTTCTGAATTCTAGACAGTCCTGAGCACAGTTCCTGAGTGCTGGGATTAAAGGGGATGGGACCATCCAAGTTCCTAAGAAGCCCCTACAGAATAAGCAAGATCACCATAGCTACTCTGAGTTGGGGGCAAGCAAAATGAAGAAGACTAGAGAAAGAACACATTAATCCAAGTAAGTATCCTGAAGACCTGCTTACTAGAATATTTTTTCTTTTTTGTACTAGATTTGAAGTTTATGGACCAGATATAATGTGCAGGCCTTCCTTAACATTCTCTGAAGCCCACAGTGCCAGCCCCCACCCACTTTTTCTTCATCTTGGCCAGTGGGTAAATCCTTGTAGTTGCTTTGAAGTAGTGGAATAAAGGAGAAGTCCAGACAGCTGAAACTCCATCAGCACTCACATGTACCACTGGAGCTTCCACTCAGGAGGCAGGAGCACAGCAGCTGTTCACACTGCATAAAACACTTACATGGGTCATGTGAAATGTAGCATTGAAATGTAAAGGGTAGCTGTTCAAGACATTTATTAGTTCACATATCAATTTTTAAATATTTTAATTATTACTTTATGAGTATTTTGCCTGCATGTACATCTGTGTATCAAATGTATGCCTGGTGCCTGAGGAGGTTGTAAACTTCCATGTGGGTGCTGGGAATGGAACCTGGGTCCTCTGAGGCCAACTCTCTAGCCTTCATATTTAGTTTTTTGAGACAGGGTTTCTCTATGTAGTCTTGGCTGTCCTGGAACTTGCTTTGCAGACCAAACTGGTCTCGAACTCAGAGATATCCCTGCCTCTGTGATAAAAGGTGTGCTCTACCACCACCACGTGGCTCAATTTATTAAAATTGCTTTTTTAATGTTCGTTGGTACTTGGAAGTAGCCACAAATGTCTTTAATTAAAGCTTCCACTTGAAATTCACAATTTTACCTTATTTTTATTATAAGTAATTATTACAGAAAATGAAAATACCAATATTTGAAAAATACATTCCATTACAGAATCCAAAGAAACAATGCTGCTAAGTGCCATGGTCCCAGATGCTACTGTCATTCCCACACTGAGCACCACCAGTGGTTTGGAAGCCAAAGTGACCCATCTAAACATGTGCCTACAGTTTTAAAGGCCCAGCTGCTGCCTTGTCCTTGTACCACAAGGATGTCACAAAACACCCAGCTCCACATGGCTGCCAAACAGGCAAGTCAGTAAGTACAGTAGTCCCCAGACTCTCTTGCTATAGAAAACCAATGTTGTCAGTTGTAACAGTTAATGAATTATTTATGCCACACCAAAGAGGACTGTATAGGCAGTGATCCTCCAGAGAAAGTCTTTAAGGCATCCATGACATTTGGGATTTAATATATTTAGTGAACCAGTCAAGTTTTTCATTAGGTCAATTCTGTAAAGTGAACATGGCTCAGAAGCCTGTGCTGTGCTGTGTCCTCTGTTGGGCTGGCAGGGGAGCTCTGGAGCTTCAGGTGGCTCTGGGGGGCTGGTCATGAAGGAAGCCAGTGTCTGTGAGGGAGGCATACTTTATACTTGTACATGATGCTGTTGTTGCCTCTCAGGCACTTCAGCCATGTTCTTTTCCTCCAGGTAAGGAAATCCTAGATGGAGGCTTTGCCCCCAACCCCTTGTCTGCAAATAAGACTAGTTCAGTATGAGGGTCAGGCACGAACTGGGAAGGGCAGTGAGACCACACACCCAGTTCCCTGAAAGACCCATTCAAGGAAAAGGAGGAAGCTGACAGGTAGTCAGAAACAACTCAGGGCTCTGAGGTAGAGAATAAAAACATCACATGGACCCCACTGTTTGGAGAGAATACGGCAGGTGAGCTGAGCAGTGAATATTCAGCCTTGACTGAATTGGTTATTGGGGTGGAATAGGCCTAAAATTTGTGACTAACACATGACTGAGTGAGACACCAGTGAAAACACAACTGGAAACAGGAGTCCTCAGTGTAGGCACTTAAGCTTGTGGGACATCGATGTTAGAGGATCATAGCAAATTTGTTAAAGCACATGGTTTGTACCTGTTTAAAAAAAAAACACCTTAATGATACACTGTACAGTAAGACTAGTGATGAACAAGAGGCAGTTAAAAGCTAGGAAAGCACAGTAGTGCTAACTGATGCAGCAATGTTTCAGTAAAGTTTATTCTTCCTGCTCTGCTCATTTGCAACTGAGAACTTTTTGAGTGAATAAAATGTTTTGTTGCTAGTTCTCAAGGTGCTGATTAAGACTGAGCAAGAACAGCTAAGAAGTTTCATGGTGAAATGTGGTCAGCATGGAGAAAGCACAGGAGAGATACACAGTAAGTCTGGTCCTGGCCAGGGCAGTGCAGAGCAGGAGTGCTGCACAGGGAACATCGCGTGGTCTGGCTGTGGAAGGATGCTTGAGTCATGTCTACAGCAAGGGTACTGATGCCCAAGGCACACAGTCCCTCTCAGCCATAGCTGGTCACTATGCTGACCTCTGAAGGAATTGAAGCTTGAACCCACATCCTTTTAGGCGTGAACTTCAGATTGTAAGTACAGTTATAGGCAGGATTGTTATTGAAACTGGTATAGGTCAAGGACAAAATGATCAGCTTCATCCTGATTCCCTATTTTCCCCTCTTCACTGTAAACATGAAAAACAAGTGTATGCGTACCGACCACCTTGGTTCATAGCAGAACCATAATTACCTTCCTCATTAAAGAATCATGGTACCAACTAAATTCTACGTCTCTGTGACCCTTTTTAGGCAATGAAAATTAGAAATCAACCACATGCTTCATATAGTTGTTGGCTAAGACTGGCTAAATGTTTCCATGAAATAAGTCACAGGGTGGGGACAGCGGCACTCTTCTAAGTAACTTTTCCTTTCAAAATCTGCATACAAGCTAATATCAACATAAATCACACAGGTATTCTTAGAAAGTAGCACACTGGTTTATCAGCACATTTTATACATATTTAGGCAGTAAAAAGTCTTTAACTCTACACAACAGAGGGCATACCACTATCCAAGAAAGAAAGTGATGCCAAAAGAAGTCCCTTTTATTCATACATCTGTACTCCATTAATGCAAATCATGTAGGCTATCAAACATCTCAAAAAAATCAGTATGTGTGCGATTGACATTTTAATCTCTTGAGTGTAACTAGTGTTCATTTCATAGTAGCTGTGTTTTTGTTTCTTTAAAAAAAAGTGGTAGAAGCTTCTCTTTCAGTGTGCAATAAAATAAAATTAAAAAAAATTAAAATTCCAAATCAGAAACAACCCAAACCACTGGCCCAACTTTAAAAAGAAAGATGCCTAGTATCCCAAGGTTAGTAGAAGCAGCAGAAGGAACCCAAGCCCTGTGCTTCAGAGCCTTGCTTCATGTATCAGCCAGACTTCCAAAACAGGCTGCTCATAGTTTGGCCAAGGCCTTTGGCGGCTGTCTCTGATTGGGCAGGGCACCAACAGCACTCAGCATGCAAGGCAAGGTTTTAGCAGGAAGGATGTGTGTGAGTATGAATTTCTTCCTTCTTGGCAGTTTTCCCTTTAAGATTAGTTTGTGCTGAGGTTCAGTCCAAGCTGGCCATCAGAACCACTGATAAAAGGGTGTGTGAAGGTATTTTTGAATTGGATTCTCCAATGATGCAGCTTTAGAAAAAGTGCAGCACAGTCAAAGTGCATTTCTTCTACCACTCAAGTGGCAGCGACTGAGGACTCCACAGACAGGACGCAGCAAGACGAGAGAATGAGACAGCTGCTAGGTGTCAAGCTGCCACTGCACTGACACCCAGCAGTATCAGCATTGGTAAAGCTTTCGTTGTTAAGGCCACAATTTTTCAGCTCTCATCTTTGAACCCTGTTTAGAAAGATTTCACCTTTTTAAAAGGGGCAGCTCATTAAAAAATACAGCTTAGCTTTAAAAAGAAAGAAAAGACTTGAGGGCAAGAGGTTCCTATTATCTTTATGAAAACACTGTGCATTAAAGGCCACAGCCACTTAGAGTAGCCACCACCCTAGGGTAATCAGCTCTCATCTAGCAGCTGCGGCTCTACTCTGTCAGGCTCTGCCTCTAAGTCAGCCCAGGCAGGAAGACGTTGTGAATTCTCTGAGATGGATGCTAATACTACCAAAAGGGAAAATTGTCTACAAATGTCTTTGTGTGCTGCTAGCTGATTCCTATCACATTTGTCATACAGGCTACACTGGCCTGGTCCAACCAGTGAGACATCTAGTGCACTAGACCACAGTTTGACACAGTCATACAGAATCGTCTGAAATGGGATCACACCATGGCCTGTAATTGTTCCAGTCTTCTGCCGCAGGAAGACAACTGCCAGCTCTTGATCTGGGTAGGAGTCAGGCTGGTGAGTAGAGCAGCTGCTGGGGAGGTACCAGGGGACGCAGGCCTGGACCCTCCTAGGGGCTCACTAAGAGACTCCACCCAGAGTCAGTACATCAAAGCAAATGTTGCAAACCCGCACAGGCTTGTTCAGGTCAAACTTTATAATAGGAATCTCCTTGGTTGAGCATTTATGGCAAAGAAGACGGCCACAATGACGACTGTGGAGGCAAAGAAAGAAGTATGAGAGGTGTGGAAGAGCAGACTGTTCCCAAATGGCCAGCCAGATCACACCAATTCACATACAGTATTAGTTCTTCACAAAATACTAACTGTGGTAGCTAAGCTAAAGCAAACATGAAGATGAACACAGCTGCCCCACCTTGCTAAGGCGCTGTCTAGACCCTAGCACCCTGTGAGGCAGTGATGGAACCTTCCTGCCCAGGAAAGCCACAAGCCTGAGTGCTCCTGCTGTGCTATTCTCCAGTCACAGTGGGACCTGCTCAGGTCTATCATCCCTTCATTCTGTTTGGTGAACTTCTGCCTGGAAGAGGCTCAGGCCTGTAGGGCTCATGGCTCATTATGGACACTATGAAGCTCCTACTCTTCTGCAAGCAAGTCTTACCAGTGATGTTTGCGAGTTGTGACTCCAAACTTGGCAGTGCACTCATAGCAGTTGGAGCCGTCACACCATGGAGGCTCCTTGGAGAGCATATCTGTAACACACACAGAAGACTACTTATTACACAGTTTAAGGACTCTGATTCCAGGGGGTATGACACCTTCTGGTCTCTGAGAGTACCTGCGTGATAGAGGTGCATATAAACACACAGGTACACAAACATTCACAGGAATCTAAAAATCCTTTAAAATGTGTTTTTCTTCAAAAAACAAACAAGCAAAAGTTATCTTTCATTTGATTTTAACATGTATAGACATTCTGTTGGCATGTATGTCTTTCTGCCATGTGCAGATGGAACTGAAGTTACAAATAGTAGTGAGCTACCATAAAGACGCTGGGAATTGAACCTGGATCCTTAAAGAGCAGCCAGCACTAAGACATCTTTCCAGCCCCATGAAAAGAAAGTATATCTGTGTGAGCATTGCATGAAGTAGATGTGACAGTCGGAGGACAACTCTGGAGTCATTTTTCTCCTGCCTTTATGTGTGTTTCAGGGCTAGAACTCAGGTTGTTAGGCTTGCGTAGCAAGCTCTTTACCTGCTGAGCCATCTTGCTAACCCTCTAACAAACAATTTAAATTGACACTTGATAAATTATATTTCTGGGATATGGCATGAAGATCTGCTGTACCAATATTTGATGACCAAATCAAGATAATTAATTATCCTTGCCCTTTCCTTAAAGCTTATTCATTCTTTGTGTTAGAAACACATGAATTCCTTTTACTAGTTCTTTATATGTATCAGTATAGTTGCACTAATGTGCTGCAGAACACTAGAACTTACTTCTACAAATTGTAGATGATGCATCCATATGAAGTGAAATTAAATTCAGTTTATCTGTATGCGTGTTTTGCCTGTATGTCTGTCTGTCTGTCTGTCTGTCTGTATGCATGTATGTATACACACATACATACAGCACATGAGTGCAGTGCCCCTAGAGGCCAGAAAAGAGCATTGGATTCCCATATGGGAACAGAAACCAAGTCTCTTCAGCCCCTGGTCTTCATCTCTGGTCTTCCTGCTAGAATAATACATGTTTGCCATTATCACACCTGGCTTAGCACATTCTAATTCTTGCTATCATATCAAAAGAAAGGCATAAAAACACACAAGTTAGAATCAAAAGGGTTGAGGGCTGGAGAAATGGCTCAACAGTGAAGAGCATTTGTTTTTCTTGCAAATGACACAGGTTCCCAGTACCATGTTCTGGATCACAACTGTCCCTAACTCCAGTTCCAGGGGGATCTGACACCTTCTGACCTCCACAAGCACCAAGCATATATATATAATAGATGTGCAGATTAAGATACATGGGACTTGGTTAAACATAGGTTAATTTTATTTGGGGAGAAGTCACCTACATAAGAAACCGATGACCTGCATGACCAAGAGAGGGAGCTGGGGTCCAGGACCCCAGACCTAGCCTTCCCCGTTATATCTGCACCTGTGATCACACCTAAATGGGTGTGGTCAGTGCAACAGGAGTGGGCGGGGTGGATATCTCACTACAAATATGTGCAAACAGAACACTCATACAGATAAAATGTCTTTAAAAAGTAGTAAACAAATAAAACCAGTCAGAAGGCATAGTATAACCAGCAGAGAGCTTGTGGGCTTCTTAAATATTGAGGAGAAATGGGAAAACAACACGGATGTCAAAGCAAACACTCTGAAAAAAGGCCCTTCCCCTTTCAGAGAAAGCCTTACAAGGTGCCTAGAAACAGCAGGTTCAGATCTTAAAGTATGAAATTTAGAGCTGGGTATGTGAGATTCAGGCTACTCTGGTCTATAAAGTGAGTTACAGGACAGCCAGAACTGTCACAGAGAAACCCTGTCTCAAAAAAACAAAAACTGCTGGGCAGTGGTGTGGTGGCGCACGCCTTTAATCCCAGTACTCAAGAGGCAGAGGCAGATGGATCTCTGAGATTTGGAGGCCAGCCTGGTCTACAAAGCTAGTTCCAGGACAGCCTCCAAAGTTACAGAGAAAGTCTGTCTTAAAAAAAAAAAAACAAAAACAATAAAACCAAATACCCCAAAAACCAAGAACAACAACAAAAAAGAACAATTTAAATATCACCAATACTTTACACATCAGCATTATAACTGTAGAGGAGGTACAGAAAGTATGCTACTTACCTAATAATCTAAACAGAAGCTGCTTAGTGGCAACCTGGTAATTGAAAATGTTGACTCCTTGGTTATTATTCACCCCAAGGCGAGCCCCAGACCGAACAATGGCACGGCACAAGTTGGCATTCCCTTTCATGTATGCTAAGAGCAGCACTAGAAAACAAAACCACAGGTAAGGCTGTTTCCCACCAGTGCTGGCTGGCCACAGAGGAACACTGGCAGGACATTTGTTAGTAGTCTGCAGACACCAGAGTCTGAAGCGCTAGTGAGAACTCCATGCAGAATCTGGTATATCTTCCAAAAAAGGGTCCGGCCAGAAGCCAGGTGATACTAGAGTTGAAGTTCATAATACGGAACTAATGTAGGGATCAAACACTGGAAAAGCCAGTTTTCTCAGTTGCCTTCCCCAGTCAAAAATCACTGCTTTTACCACTAAAGACAAAGCTCTTTGCAGTGTAACTAAATGTAAAGACCTCTGATTTCAGTACATATAGAGAAGTAAAATTAGTATAGGAAACATGTTCCAGAATGTTCTTCCATCCAAAGGAGCCTCTCTTTGTGAAATGTTGGCTTAGTAGGAAG